CCGACTGTCGACTGTGCAGCATGTTGACCTTTCCAAGTGATTCCATCCATACACAAACATGAGCAGCATGCCTCCCAATCAACTGCAGGACATACCGACTGTGCAGCATGTTGACCTTTCCAAGTGATTCCATCCATACACAAACATGAGCAGCAGTCTTTATGACTCCCAATAAAAAATGCTTCTTGACTCACAATAAAGACTGAACAGCATGAATCGAAAAGCTCAGCTTGTGCTGTATTCTTACAGCTTGCTGTGCTCACAACAGACTGAGTAGTAGTTTGAAAATGAGAGCCAAGTTAGCAACACTTTCAAAATGATACAAACCAAAGACCAAAGTTGTACCTTCTGCGATTTCTACATTCATATAAATCCTATACATTGATGAAGTGAAATATATGAGGACCATGAACTGCTGCTCTTGCATGGCATCACGTTTTCAACATGTTATGTTTGTTTAGCATATCTTAGTGGCCTTTAAAGAAGGTCTGGGTCTTAAACTGCTGCAGGTTCGAGGCCATTTGATGAGGTGGTCTGTCCAAACATACATCAGTTGTTGTTGTTAATGACATTCTATATTAAGGAAATTTATTATGCTTTATGAGCTAAAATGATTCACAATTTGTGATGAAGAAATGACTGCACTGCTTCCAACTTTCACCTTGAGAAGGAGACCAAGTTGTGCTACCTATTGTCATCGTGAAAAGAACTGAAATGTCTAATAGGGAACAAACAAATGGAGAGGTAGATATTTTATGTATTTTCAACAGCAAGTACTGTATGTTCTTATACGGGTGTTAATGCATGCTTCTTTGACCGACCACACACTTTTTAAAAGATCTTTGTTTATGATTTGATGGTCACAATATTTGTATGACGTTCTTTTGGACGGTGCTCCAAAAATAATGTGCCATAAAGACATAAAAGTTATAAAAGTAAGCTAGAGGTACACTAAGTTTTTGCAGCCTTCTCATTAGGAAAGGGATATTTTTGAAGGAGCAAAGGAGAAGGGGCATTATAGAAAGACTTGAGTAGGAGACATACAATGTCACAAATATTTTGTTTAAAAAGAAAGGGAAAATTACTTGTATTGTTAGAAAATTGCAATTGTTTTCAGTCCATTATAGATTCAGAATACAATTTTCATAATTATGCATACATAAAAACAAAACCCTACAGTTATTTTAAATACACGAAAGCCCTATATCAGATACAAGAAACTCTAAAAAACATAATAGTGCAAGGATCACATGCAAAATAAATAGCCATTGTTATTTAAGTTAGAAAAGGGTTATTTTACAGTTTTAAGTCAGCCTGTTAAAAGAAAGCACTTACAAAAATTATAAATGTTAATTTTGCCCAAAACACTCCTTTTTAGTCTTCTTTTTGTCTGCAATTTAATGTGCTGCTCTCCCATATCTCAGATAGAGTATTAACAAATTTGAGATCACAGTTGATTTGATTTTACTTCCATAATTTGACACACATTGCAAACCTTCAGTATTGCTTCAGTATGTGACACAAGGACAAGCGCAGTTTTTGTCAAAGATGATGAACAGTGATGAAGGAGCAGTTCACAGGTATAATATTAACATTTGCAAAGGGGCGTTTGAATAGATTTTTGAGTCTTAAGAGGCCTCTATATAAGTACAGCAGCTTTTCAATATGCAAATGATAAGATACTGATGAAATGTAAGATACTAAGATGAATTACCTGTAGCACACAAAAACTGATCAAATCAACTCAGATGGCAGGTCATCTGTGGCCTGATTGCACTATGTTTAGCAATATGCATATTTGAAGTTTTAAAGATCAATGACAAACAAAAGCTATGAGACCAGTCTTTAAACTCATTTATTTGTCTTTTGTACGTTTTTTTTTCTTCAGTTGATGTATGGGATCATTTAAACACAAGTCTATTTACATATTTCTGATCATTTGCTGATAATGCATTTAAATTTATCCCCCATATTTTGTGTCTGGCCTCATTCTGATGGTGCTATTAATGCAGATATCACATTTTACCCATAACAAGACCTTACTCATTGGTTAGCTGAATGTAGTTACGTTTTGTACTAAGGGCAAAAAGACTGTACATGCATTGATGCTACAACAACAATGGCTCCACTGGTAGAATGGGATACTGGATGTGATGATAATGGACCATAACAGATTGGGGTGGAGAAAGGCCTCTGTTCTTGTCATAGATAATGAAAGAGGCAAAATTGTGTTATTATGTTTTATACAATTTTTGTGGTTGATGTAACATTCTTCAACAGAAAAAAAAAAACTGTATAGCAACAAAAGACTGAAATATGATTTTCTCTTTTCTTTATGTTTCACGTTGTGTGAACTTTGTTGATCAAAATGAAACAAAAATGAGATGTAACTAATATATTTAAAGAAGCAATC